CATACAAACACACACACACATTGCGAGGCGTGAGTTTCCAGGCTCAGTCACTGCTGCCCAGAGCTGATTCCCAATAAACCCGCCAAGACACGGCTGTGTGGTCTTTGTGGTATGATTCTCGCTTAGGGTGCGAGAGAGAGGTCGAATCTCAGCGTCTCGGCGCAGCCCTCCTTTCGAAGCCACATTTACCAAAGGCGAGTGCAGCTCCAGTCCACTGCTGCCCCCAGAGCTACCCAGTCATCCCGCCCCAGACTTGCGGCTGGAGTGGTCTAAGTGGCATGATTCTCGCTTAGGGTGCGAGAGGTCCCGCATTCGCGACTCTCGGCACAGCCCTCATACAAAGCACATTATGCGGTGGGGGAGTTTTTCCAAGCTCGAGTCCACTGCTGCAAGGGCGACCCGAAGTAAACCCGCGCACAGACTTGGCTGTAGCCCAGGGTCCTGAGTGAGTATGATCTCTCGCTTGGGGTGCGAGAGGTCACGGGAGTTCAATTCGAGCACAGCCCTCATACAAAACACATTTCAAGGCCAGGGAGTTTCCCAGCCTGGGGTCACTGCTCGCCCAGAGCGACCCAATAAACCCGCCGAAGACACGGCTGTGTGGTCTAGTGCAGGCTGATTCTCGCCTCAGGGTGCGAGAGAGATCCCGAAGCTCAGTTTCTCGGCACAGCTCATACAAACACATTACAAGGCGAGGGGAGTTTTCGAAGCTCAGTCACTGCTCTCAGAGCTACTGCAGTAAACCCACGAGACTTACGGCTGTGCGGTGTAGTGGTGGCGATTCTCGCTTAGGGTGCGAGGAGGTCCCGAGTCCAATTCCTCGGCACAGCCCTCATACAAACACATTACATAGGCGTGAGGGAGTTTCCAGCTCAGTCACTGCTGCCCAGGAGCGACTCCAATAAACCCGCCAAGACATGGCTGTGGTCTTCGTCCCACTGGAGCTTTCGAATATCAAAAGAGGGCAGTACGCGTACGCAAATTGACTTCGCGCTTCCCATCACCAAGAAACTTCATATGGCGTAGTGAACTCGCTCATCGATATGACTCCAAAGTCCCCATTCTAAACTATACATACTAACAGATCTTCAGCTCAAAAATACTTTCTCACGCAGAG